TATAGTCGACATGACTGCAGCAGCACAGAAGTATTATGACGGGCTTAATACTCACCAACCCATCTAAACAAGTCTTCCATATATGGAACGTCTTACTTGCATGATTTAAACGCTGACCTCGGCATAGGAAATAAATTTCCTCTTTATGAGTCTAATTTCTAGCCGAGGATTTGTCATTGAAAATAATGATCCTTATACCAATTTCACATATTTCTGACCTGAATCAAACTGTGAGCTGGTGCTTTCCGCAATCCAATTTCATGTATTGTACGTCTCATGTTTTCTGCATCTTTCCACCTTCCAGCTGCAGAATAAATTTTTGCCATCAACACATAATTTCCTGTGTTCTCTGCCTCCAGCTCAAAAAGCCACTTTGCAGCTATCTCCCCCAACTACATTCTCATGTATCACACAAGAACCAAGCAGTGCACCCCAAACAGCATGACTAAGGGCAAATGGCATTGTTCTAATGATATCATAAGCTTCATCTGGTCTACCAGAACAACCAAGAAGGTCAACCATGCAAGTATAATGATCAGGTTGAGGGATTATTTGGTGGTTTGTAAGCATGAATTTGAACAAATCCATACCATCATCCACCAAAACAGTGTGGCCGCAAGCATGCAGCACAGAAGTGAAAGTAACTTCTTTAGGCTTTACCCCAGCTTGAACCATTTCTTTGAAAAGTGAAAAGTAATCTCTCCATGGCCATGTGCTCCGTAACCAGCTATTATCACACTCCATAGATAAATGTCCTTGTTCTTATTGGGTATCCCATTAAAGATCATGTGAGCAGATTCTAAACTGCCGCATTTTGAATATATGTCAACCACCGCTGTAGCAATTTCATTGTTTGACAATAATCCAGACCTTATCAGGTAAGAATGCATGTTCATAGCTTGCTGTAAATCTGCATGGATGGCATATGCAGGTAGAAAACTCTTCAAGGTAACAACATCAGGTTTCACTCCTTCTATAAGAATTTCTTTAAAAAGTTTGATTGCATCATTTTGAAGTCTATTATGAATGCACCCAGCGAGAATCGCATTCCATGGAACCGTTTGCTTTTTTGAAGTTTTCTTAAAAACTTGGAAGCTAAGGTCAACACAATTGCATTTAGCATACATATCGATCAATGAAGTTTCCACCAGAACATCTGACTCAAGTTTTTGCCTTATTGCCCAACCATGCAAACACCTACCATCCATTGGGTTCTTCGACTCACCACAAGCTGGAAGAAGAGATGCTAGCGTGACCAAATTAGGTCTCACACCTTCAAGTACCATCAACAAGCAGAGTCTCAATGCAGCTCTCACATCAACATTTAAAATATACACATTGATCAAAGAAGTCCAAGTCACCACATCCCTTTCAACCATCCCATCAAAAACGAACCTTGCTTCCTTAATACTCCCACACTTTGCAAACATATCCACCAACGCATTCCTCACTGCTATTTCTTTCCCCCAATCCTTCTCTTTCACCAACTCATGAACCCTTCTCCCCTCCTCCAATTTCTTCAAACATCCACAAACAGGCAAAACCGAAACCAAAGTAGCACAATCCATTTCCACCTCATCGTCCACCATCTTATTAAAAATATCCAAAGCTTCCTTGGCACATCCATTTTTGAAGTACCCACTAATCATTGAATTCCATGAAACCACATTGGCTCCCACATAGATTTAAAAACTTTCCCTCCTTCCTCCTTCTTCCCACAATTCATATACATTGTCAACAAAGAATTCATCAAAAAACTATCCTTTTCAAAACCACCCATCAAAACTCTCACGTGAACAGCCGCACCAAAATGAACCAACTTTTGTTCCTCAAAAGCCTTAAAAACAAAAGGGGTAAGTAAAGTTATCTGCCATGCATTTACCCAAGTAAACCATTTCAACAAACAAATTTAGCTTTTCCAGATAAAACCCAATTTTTGTATACATTTTTAACATCATATTATATGAAAACAAGGTCGGTTGAGGCAATTTATGGTTAGGGCATGAAGTTGGGTGGTTTTGGTGAGGGATTTAATGGCACCGTAGTGTTTTAAGAGAGATTTGTATTGTTTGACTTTGGACAAGACCATACATTGGCCATTCATTAAGTCTGGTTTTTCTGTGAGTACTATGTTTTCTTTTTTTGTTTGAAAATTATGGTTAAATGTTAAATTTAGGATTAAATGTTTAGGTGATTGTTTAATTTAAGATTAAATGTTTTATTTTGTACGAATGAAGATTAAACATTATTAATTTGTAATATTAAAAGATTTTTTTAATAAATTTAGAGCTTACATTATACGCACCTCAACTCAAGTAAATTATTCAACTCAGCTGATATTTTTATTGACGTGACAAATGAATAGTATCATCTTTTGTTGATACATAATATTTTTATCCATATGTGTAAAATAATACAAAAAATTAATTTCAAATGTAATTTATAAAAAAAGTATAATTTAATTAATTAATTTTTAAGTTAAATAACTCTCTTTACAGATAATTGAACATTGGTTGGTTCTTCAACTTTTTTCAGATTTCACTTATCGTATGCCACCGTTAGCCACTGCTTGTCAACACCGATTGGCTTCTAAATTTCACCAATAAGTTCATCTTAGTCTCCTCTTTAATATGATCTAGTTGGTTTTCTTAAAGACTTATTAGATTTTTATGGATATTAAATTTTTATGGATCTAAAATCAAAGTTACGAGTTTCTCTCTCTTCTTTGCCTCACTGATGACCGTCGCCTCAAGATATGTTATTCCGTTTCTTCTTGACTACTTTTTTATGAGATTTTAAGACCTAAATCCCCTTTGATGATGCAAACCTAAATTTGAAGAAGGATGAGGCTTTCTTTTCCTTTTTGAAGTTATTGTTATTGTGTTGGTTGCTTAATTTTTTTTTGTTTATTTCTTTTACCCCTAGATGAACAAAAACTTGTTTTTCAAAAAAATAACTTCTCACTTGAATTTCTAGCAACTTTCACAAATTTAGAAGACTCACTTGATTATTTACATAAATTTAAAAAAATGAGTTTTTAAAATATAAAAACAAAGTAGAGAAGATGGATTGCCCAAAGATTTGCAATTGGGATTTGCCCTATTTCTCTCTCTCAGCCTACCATTATCATTGTTATTGGTCTCTCTTCTTTGTTTGTTGTCTCACTTGTTTGGCTCCTTTCTATATTTCCCTTTCCTTCTTTACTGCACAAATGACAATCTCCATTAATAGCTTCAAATTTTCAAATTGTGTTTGAAACTTCTAAAATGGATATTCATTTGGCTAAGTAGAAATCTTGACTTAATTCAACTGATGAAGAATGTTATGATTAAAAAAATTTTGAAATTTCTAAAATTTTAAGATTAAGAAAACCTAAAAGAAAAAAAAAAAAGAGATTTGTTTGAAGAGAGAAAATATGAGTAAAAAATAGAAAAGAAACAAAATATTTTTAAAAATTGAAAATTTCATTTAATTTTTATCTATTAATATATTTTTTAACTTAACAATGCGTGTGTTTCAATTTTTTTTTTTTTTTTAAAATTTTATATTAATGCAATCGATAATGTTTAAGTTTTATTTGTATAAAATAAAATATTTAGTTCTAAATTAAGCAATCATCCACATGTTTAATTCTAAATTAAGCATTTAGTCAAAAAATTATATTATACTGTGGCAAATCTTATGCTCCCATATATGCAGTTAATCAAAATTTCAAGGCATAGGAAAAAAAAACTGGTAAACAAGTACTAAAAAGTTAAGGTCAAAAGTAGGGATAAATAATCAAAGTTAATAAGGAATTAAAACCGCTATTTAAATATTAGTAAGATTTTTTATATATAAAAAGGTCGAGGTAAGGGAAAGTTACCAATTTCACGTATGTCTGAATCTTAAGTATCTTTTTTACCTTCGCTTATAAAATTGTGATCAGTTTTTCGTGCAAGTAAATCGAGCTATTTCTTTTACCATCGTAGGGCCAAACGACCTTAGTATTTTTTTGTGCTTTGGCGTTATTGTCGCATTACGCCTTAAGCTCAACACGCTACCTTGTTTCTTTATGGATCAATTTTTGCCGACTATAATAATTTAATTAGATCATTAATTAAATTTAAATATAAATTTTAATAAGATTCATTTAATATAATTTTTTTATTAAATTTTTTAATTATATTTATAATAATTATTATTATTATTTTTAATATCATTAAAATCAATTTTATCATTCCTTAAAATGAATTCTTATATATTATTCATCATAAAGCAAAGATGAATCTATCATAAATTACTATCGAATAGAATAAGGTGTATCATTAATGTATATGTAAGAGTGTAAATGATACATTAGTACTCGTAAATTATTCGGATTCAATTAAAAAAAATTCGAATTTGATTCGATTATTATCAAGTCGAGCTTGAGCTCAGTAGCTAGACTTATTGATCGAGCCGAATTCGAGTATTTTTATATCCGACTCGAATAGTTCGCGAGCTTAATAGATTTTTTATATTTAAATATATTTTTATTATTTTAATTAATAAAATATTTCGAGTTCGAACATGAATAATCGAACTCTTATTGAATATACGAATCAAGCTTATTTTTACATATTAATCGAGCTTAATCGAGCGAGTTTGAGTAGCTCGAATTCGATCACGAATCGAGTTCGAGCTTGAAAAATAAAACTCAATCGAACTCAAACCGAATATTGAACTTCGAGTTATGAGTCGAATTCGAGTTCGAACTTCTTACTATTTGACTCGATTCGACTTGATTAAACCCTACGTGTATGTTTAGTAAACGGTGATTCATACGTGATTGACTATCGTTTTAAAAACTTTATAACTTAGCCATCAATTATAGCAAGTCAGCAGCCATTCTTGGTGGTTGGATAATTGACAAAAATTGGATCATGTAATAGTTATACTGCGGGCCAGCCCTATATTAAGCGTCTTTCTTAGGTAGATTATACACAAAATTACAGGTCACTCTCAAACATACACAGACATCATCAATGTATCACATTAATAATACTGTTACTTATTCTTTGCAGTGATAACCAAAACAATAAAAAAGAAGTCCCATAAAACAAACCCAAACAGCCAACAACTTTATTACTGCTCCACTTATGTTAACTTTTGCCCAAAGCCCCAAGCCCTCCTACTGCCCCTGCTCATAAGCCCCGCAGGCCAGAGCCCTCTCAAAACCCTCGAGAAATCATGGCTTCTCACCACCACCACTACCACCGCACCACCTCCTGCTGCTCCACCTGCTCTGGCAGCCACTGCTGCCAACCACCTCCATCACCTCCTCTTCCCCAACAATCTGACCCTCTTCTACAAGCCCTTGCCTCTCTCCTTCTCCAAACCCAACACCCCCAATCCCAACAAAATCATTATCTAAATCAGAATCAAACCTATTTTCTTAAACCGTTCCAAGATCAAAACTCTGCCAGTATAAAGCGTCACTTGCATCAGAAACATCATCACCTACAAGAACCCAACTCTCTCCTCTCTTCACTTGTCAGCCGCATAAATGCTCTTGAAGCATCGCTCCAACACTTTTCCCAAACTTCAAAATTTTATTCTTACCCTTCATGTTCTCTTAAAGATGCAGCTGCACGTGTCATCCAAACCCATTTCAGAGCCTTCCTCGTTCGTAGATCAAGAACACTTAGACAGCTCAAAGATCTTGCCTTTATCAAATCAAGTCTCAATTCTCTCAAGCTCTCAATTTCGAATAAAACCCATTTTGATTGTGAAGCTGTTTCTCAAAAAGCCATGGACTTGCTTCTCCAACTTGACTCTTTTCAGGTATATCTTTATTTAGTACTTCCTAAAATCTTGGTTTGCATTTTTTTTTTTTTGGATTTTAAAATATGTTTTTTTTAGGGTGGTGATCCAATGATTAGAGATGGAAAAAGGTCAGTTAGTAGAGATTTGGTTCATTTTTTGGAATATATTGATGGGTTGGCTTTGAAAAGGCATAATCATTTGTATAAGAATGCAAAAAATATGAGGATTTTGGGCAATGGTAGTAAAGCTAGGATTTTGAGGTCTAATTCTGGAGAAATAATGCAGAAATTGAGAGACAGAGTTGAAAAGCTTGATAGGTTTTCTAGCAATGAAGAGGGTGATGATGATGTGGATCTTGAAGGGTTTCATCAAGTTATCAGTGAAGGAGAGAATCCTAGGATTTCTATTACTGGAAAAGGTGGCATCTGTGTGACTCAAAATAGAAATGGTGGGGTTTTGGTGAAAAGCCAAGGGAGTCAACCAAGAGTTAAGAAAACTGTGAGCTTTGCTGAGAATGCAAATGTGTACAGGATTATCAGTGGTGGAAATGCGGTTAGTTCAAGTGGAGATGGTAGTTTAACTGATGAGAGTGTTTCAAGCGATGATCATGGAGAGATAGTGGAGAATCTTTGTAAACAAAGTGGAGGTTTAGCTGAGAATGAGGAGGAAGTGAACTTGGATAATGAACAATGCTTGCTGAGTAGCCATGGAGAGAAGAATACTAGGAAGAATATGAGCAGGCATGCTAGAAGTGAGATTGATGGGGATTATCAGGTTCAAGATGGAGATTTTGTGTTTTCTGCACCATTGCCTGTCAAGATGGAATCTAAAGCCGACCTGATGAAGAAGAGGAAGGATGCTCTTAAAATTGTCTCATAGACAGCACCATAATGAAGGATTAGATCTTTATTGGTTGAGAGAGCGCACCATGGAGATGTTCTGAGGGCCCCTGCTAGTATTTTTCTCTCGCACTGGGAGGGCTTGGTTTGACTTATTTTATAACTTGTCCCTGATTGAGTGTTTAATGTTAGCTGAACTGAATTGTCATTCCCTCCTTGTCTCATGTCTTCACAATCATTGTTCCATGTCAATTAGTATTCTCCTACACATTTTTTTCAACTAGTTGGAGAGAAGGGTGGGTTAAGAATGTTTGATTCAATGTAGTTCCTGTTGTGCCTGTTACCTGATTGCAACTGCATTTACATTGCAAGTGATTGTGACCTACTACAATTCTTGTCTATGCATTGCGGAAATGGAGATAAGTTTTTGAAAGGGCTTTCAACTATATCAACAGCTAGTTCCAAGTGTGTAAGTTGCAAGAGTTGCCTAACTAACCTGATTACCAGGCAGAGTCCAGTCTCTTGAGATTTGGTTTTGGAGTTAGTTTAAAGAAACCAAATGAAAAAAGTGAACTTACAAATATTCTTCAGACACACCAATACAAACATATAACACGATCTTGAAGGGAACATCGTCTCCCATGCTGATTGAATGCTTAGATAATTGAATTTTGTTTTCCTACAAAAGCAAAACAACCCTGTAAATGTTAAAAGCACTCATTAAAGTTCAGAGTAAATTTTAGTTGAAAATATTAATCTCACCATTGAGGCACTTCCTCTTGCATCCTTCAACCACAAGAAAGAATGGCCATCATGTCCGGGAATGTTCTCATTCTTTTAGTTGGTGCTGGCTGCAGTCTCAAGTTTCTCAGCAATGATGGCATTTTTCTTTGCAACTAACAAACTTAATCATAGCCTACCTCGAGGCATTAATGTTACCTTGAAACTGTGGTACGATCAACGTTGTTAATATTGTATCCAATAATATTTGGATTTTTTTTTAAAAATATAGTATATATTATTATCAGTTATTTTGATATATTATTTTAGATTTTTTTATTTAGTATAAATATATTTATAAATATGCATGAACTTATACATTATAATAATATTATTAATAATTTACAAAACAAATATGCAATATCTTCAAAAATCAAATAAATAAGTTTAAAAGCATAAAAAATAATATTATAAAATTTTATGATATTTTTAAATATTTAATCTGATCATATAATATTTAAATAAGTATTTTATCATATAAATATTAAGATAAAAATAAATAGATGAAAAAATTAATCAAAGTTTTATGATTGTTAAATTTTATAAAAAGAGTATAATTACTTCCTTGAAAGAAATTGAAATATTTATAAACTTTGATTTGAAAAAATAAAATATAAAATTATAAACTTTTAAAAAATAAAGTATAAAAAAAGTTAAAATAAAAATAAAATAACTCAACTTTAAAAAGTTATTTTATTAATTAATTTTATTTTTATTAAGTTAAAAATAATTGAACAACAAAAAATAAATTAAAAATTACAAAATATATTTAACATTTACATATCCATCGAAAATATGCTATTCTATCAAAATTGATCAAAATCGACTGAAACTAATGAAAACAAGTTATATTATTTAATACTAAATGCGATATAAAAAATTATTTTTAATTGTATCGTATGTTGATATAATTGAAGTGTGATGATTTATATGATCGATATCGAGACAAAATTAATAATTAAGCGTAAGATGCCATCCTCTTTTCTGCACATTTTACAGCTTCCCCCTCTGACAATTGCCATGCACCCCAACAGATGCTACTGCATCGAACATGGCCTCATCCTTGAAAATTTCTACTCCATCGCATAAAAATATAATTGGAATAGACTGATTCGAACCAATTAAATCTGCACAAAAATTAAATTTTCAAAAATATATTAACCGCAAATGTAATTGACAAACTGTAATATAACAGAGTTGAAATTATTTGAAAGGAGTAATGATGTCAAGATGAATTTTTCTGAAAATGGATTTCCGTTGATTATGAGATGTGTGTACAATTGCTTATTCGAGATAGTCATCAATGGCAATCAATGATTAATCCGACTAAAGGGATAAATTAAATCATATTCCAAATAATGCCACATTACATTATGCAAAATTCAATTTAGATCCAAACTCGAAAGGATGAAAATATTGATGCCACCACTACCAAACAACAGCTACTAACTGGACTTCAATCAATTCATACTTTTCTTTCATTCCATTCACATCCTTCCAAATCTTCCAATCCGATCAATCTATTCTGCCAGGGTGCCGCAATGATTCCTATCTAATAAAAAATATTGCAGCTTCAAACCAAAGTTTGGGAATTCAATTAAAATTAAAATTATTTCGATTTAAAACTATAATTAAGTTACATAAATTCTTGATTTCTATTCATCAAAAAAGAATTTTTATTTTTTTAATTTTCATTAATTAAATCAAATTATTAAAAAGTGAACTTTAACTGACCAATATATTTTGATTAATTTGCTTGATTAATTCTATCCTTATTAAGTTAATCAATTTTTGTTAACAATTTTAAAGATTTGGCTTAGAATCTAATTACCTATTTAAGCAACTTTAAAAGACTTTTTTATACATTAATTTGCACATTCAAAATCAATCATGTTGATGAAAAAAAGTGAACGAATCAATTTTTGAACAATCCCCACCGTACATTTTGACGGGTTTTACATAGGCACAACACCCCAGATAACAACCTCGACAGGATAAGGAAAATTCCGTCAGCTGCTTACAACTGGACGGAGCAGAGCCACCTGACGCCCATCTTTCGCCTCCCATTCTCTTTTGTCCTTTTCCCATTATAGAAAAAAAATCTCACTTAAACTAAAATATTCTCCTCCCGTTACCAAAACAGAAACTTAAAATCCACCACTTAAATGACTCCGCGTCATCAAAACGGATTCCAATCTCTACCAAACCAATAATTGACCGCCAAGTGTGCGGTGGTAGAGCTATGATTTTACCTGATCTAACTCATATCGGTGACCTGAACGGTGGATGGATTCATCTTCCACGTGGATCAAAAAATATTGCCAGGTGGAAATCAAGGAAAATGGAAAATTATTTGGATAGTAGGTGATTGCAACTCCTATAATAGTTCTCGTGAATCGCTCATTTTCTTATTCACTCGATACTGCCACTCTGATCTCTCCAGTTTTACGAAGTTCAAAGAGTGATGGCTACGTGGAGATTTTCTACGACGCCGAGCGGAGCGGAAGCGGTTTCGAGCTGCAATGCGGTGGCTAGATTCATCGACTTCAGCCGCGGAAGAAATAGCGGCGTCGTTTGCGGTGGTGGAGGGGGAAGCGGAATCAAAGCGAAGCAGTTGATGTTGATGAGGAGGTGGCAAGTGAGGCCGATGAGGAGGTCGTTTTCGGTAAGGAATGTGTCGAGTGAGCCGCAACAGAAGGTCAAAGATCCAGTAACTCAACAACAAGGTTTGATCTCCTTTGGTAGTGTCTGACCTGTATACAAATGCAGCTACTCTGTTTTAACTTTTTCGTTTTATCAAATTTTGATTTTTTCTATTATTTGTTTGGTGCTTTGGAAACTTGCAGATTTTATTTTAAAGTTTGTAATTTTTAATGTTAATGCTTGCTTCTGTTACATTCTTCTAGAAAGAAAATGAATTTTGCGATTTTGAATTTAATATTGTTATTTTGTGGCTTTTTTTATTGTTTATTTGATATTTGATACCTAAAATCCTGATTGTGAAGTGAAAACTTGATGTTGTTGTTTGATTTTTTTTCCAAATATTAATTAATCGTTATAGAGTTTTTAATGGAGATTAAGAATGAGATCTAAAATATTTGATATATATATATATATATATATATATATATATAGAGAGAGAGAGAGAGAGAGAGAGAGAGATTCTATGTGCTAACTGCGGACTCTTGTTGACTGTGAGATTATTCATTCGTTCGGAGCTTCATTTTTATGACCTTTTGTTTCTATTCATTATTTGATACTTCTAAAATCTTATTTATTTCATACCTAGAATCTGCTGATTTTGAAGTTAAACTTTGATGTTATTTGATGTTGTTGTTTGATTGACTGGTATGAAAAAATGAGTTTTAGTAAAAAGTAATTGGACTTTTAGTATTTATTGACATACTGGGATGTAACCAGTCTCACTTTACCTTGTTAGCATTCAAAAGGGGTTGGGATCCCTCGTCTGATTGATTACTTAGACATGGAATGGATCCTGAGTCATGCGACCAGTTGCTCTTAGCTATCTTAGTTCCAATGAGTCGTTGAAGAGTTTTGAAGCTTATTGGGAAAAAAAGGTTGCTTCTTGGATGCTTGAGAGTTGTCTAATTAAGCTATCTTCTTATTTTGCTGGTTAGCTAAATAAGATACATCAGTTGTTGGGTTTGGATCCATTTTTGATGCTGATGTGACAAGTGTGGTGACTGAAAATATGACTTATTGAGAAATAAGGATCACAGCCATAGTTTCTCAGAATGAGCAATATTTTTCATTTCATAATGAGCTAATTAAGTGCCAGATAGTATGGAAAGCACTATGACAAATTTAAACACAAAACCGTAACTTGAAGATTACACCTTTTTGAGTCCTGTATAATCTAAGCCTGAGGTAAAATATCCACAAGTTAGTTAATTAGTTTTTCTACAAATTGAATTTGTATTGCACTGAACAATTCTCGAATATGGTGAAATTTTGATATACTGTGTTACAATGTCCTTAATTTTCCCATTTTCATTTTAACATTAATTCTTTGTCTTATGATTTAGAATCTCTGGGCACTGTTAGTCCCTTCCCTCCAGATGCTTCATCTATTGCCTCTAGCATCAAATACCATGCAGAGTTCACCCCATTATTTTCTTCTGAGAAATTTGATCTTCCAAAGGCTTTCTTTGCAACTGCACAAAGTATTTGTGACGCTCTCATTATAAATTGGAATGCCACATATGATTATTATGAAAGATTGAATGTAAAGCAGGCATACTATTTGTCAATGGAATTTCTTCAGGTGTCTCCTTTTTTGACAACTGATACTTTATTTTCTGTAAAACACTTTGAAGATGGTTTTATTCAGCATGTTTTATTTCTTATGTAGGGTCGGGCACTGTTGAATGCAATTGGTAATTTAGGGCTTACTGGAGCTTATGCGGATGCTTTGAGCAAGCTTGGGCACAACCTAGAAAATATAGCTTTCCAGGTTGGTTGGTGTATATGATTTTCTCTAGTGTACCTTACTTTACCATGTGTTCTGACATTAACGAATGATTGGGGAGAATAAAAGACACTCCAGACTGCTCCAGAATTGAAGTATAAGCTTTTTATATTGAATTGAACTATAATGGACTTAGTTAATAAATTTTCTTTTTTCTGAAAGCAGTGGGCCGCATAAGATAAAAGTTTATTTGTTGAAGCCTATAACAGCTGCATAGTGCCATTGCCTACTAATATAAAACTTTTTCCTTCAGTTCTTTCTAAAATCCACTCTTTCTGATTCATTTTGTGTATTTGTCGAAGAGGACAGGGAGGGAATCTGTATGCTTGCCTTCACATTTTTTTTATGGTAGCTAAATTCTTTGGTTGATTTTATAGGAGCCCGATGCAGCCCTTGGGAATGGTGGTCTTGGTCGACTTGCCTCCTGCTTTCTGGACTCTTTGGCAACATTAAACTATCCAGCATGGGGTTATGGACTTAGATATAAGTATGGCTTATTTAAACAGCGTATTACGAAAGAAGGGCAGGAAGAAGTTGCTGAAGATTGGCTTGAGGTATGCTTTCTCTTTTATTGTTCTCTCTCTCTTGAAGTAATCATTGTGTACACAAATGTCGAAAAATATTTCTATATTTCTATGTGACATTTAAATAATGGATATTAGTGTTTTCTTTGCCTTTCTTCTCTGACCAACTTTTTTATCTTTGGCTTGATTATGGTTTCTCTTTTTAGATGAGCAATCCCTGGGAAATTGTGAGAAATGATGTCACATATCCTGTCAAGTTTTATGGCAAGGTTGTTGCAGGTTCAGATGGAAATAAACACTGGATTGGAGGAGAAGATATAAAGGCTGTTGCATATGATGTCCCAATACCAGGATATAAAACTCAAACCACGATCAACCTGCGACTTTGGTCAACAAAAGCTCCATCAGAAGACTTTGATCTATTTGCTTTTAATTCTGGAGACCATATCCAAGCAGCTGAGGCCCTATATAACGCTGAAAAGGTCTGTTCTATATTTTTTTCATTGTATATATTGATGATTTATCTGCTTATCTCTTCATAAGCCAAGCTATTTGTCAGCACAGAGTTTCATCAGAAAATCTGAGCTGACTGGAGCTATTTCTGGAGGAGAGTCTGAACCAATGTTCTTTACAACTAAAGTAATAAAGCAGAATTTCTAAAATGGCTATTGGTGTTGTAACAGAGTGAACAAATCAACAGTTTTGGGCAATTGTACTATAGTCACCCAAGAATTTTAACTGCTTTCTGTCTTGTCTCTGAATCATTTGTGTCCCAAATCACTCTACTCTTTGTTTCAAATTTTCTTTTTCATTTTGTTGTGTTGATTTTTCATGTACAATGTTGATCTAAGTGGTATGGTGAGGAATGAGGATGGCTTATAATATATGTTTTAATATCAGATTTGCTATGTACTCTACCCTGGGGATGAATCAATTGAAGGCAAAATCCTTCGCTTGAAGCAACAATATACCCTGTGCTCAGCCTCTTTACAAGATATCATTGCACGTTTTGAGAGAAGATTGGGAGCAAAGGTCAAATGGGAAGAATTTCCTGAGAAGGTTGCCGTGCAAATGAATGATACTCACCCCACTCTTTGCATTCCAGAGCTGATGAGAATTTTGATTGATGTAAAAGGTTTAAGCTGGAAGGAGGCCTGGAATATCACCCAAAGGTATCCTCTGTGATGGTTGTTTCACTTATGCATTGACAAACCTTTACTTTATTGTTTCTTTTCAAACATATATGCTGCAAGCGGTTGTTGAGAAGCTCAAGCCATACTCTCTGTATCCCCCATATTAAACCTAACTGGCTGCTGTTCCCAAATTTTGATCTATTCCAATGTTCAATTTATTTATTTTTTATATATGTGCTTTATTGTTATTTTTGTTAGTCAAGTTTGATTCAATTCAGAATGTTTGACTGTTACCAGTGCTTCAGCATGTTGGGCTTTTGCACTTTCTCACAATTCATTTATTTAATCTCAAATTCACTTTGTATTCACTTTTGTGTGCAACATGGTTATTGTGGCAAAAACTAAAAAAATAATATCTTCCCCTTCTATTTTCTCCTTTTTCTTTTCCCGATTTGTTAATTACTGATATTTATTCTTAACATAGGCTTATGTTTGGTAACTGTTATACCTTGTAATGTCTTTTTTTCTAGAACCATGGCATACACAAACCATACTGTTCTACCTGAGGCTTTGGAGAAATGGAGTTTAGAACTTATGCAGAAACTGTTGCCTCGACATGTGGAGATTATAGAAATGATTGATGAGGAGGTATAGATGGAAAACATACATAGACCAAAACCTTCAATTTTTTGTAAGATTCCAATTCTAACTAAAATTTTTGCCTTTTAATACCTTTGCAGCTAATTCGCACTATAGTTTCAGAGTATGGCACAGCAGATTCTAACTTACTGGAGAAAAAACTGAAGCAGATGAGAATTTTAGAAAATGTTGAGCTGCCAGCTGCCTTTTCAGATTTACTTGTTAAACCCGAGGAAAGTCCTGTTGCTGTTCCCAGTGATGAACTTGAAAAGTCTGAAGATGAAGAAGAAGAAGGAGAAGTAGAAGAAGAAGTTGAGCTTACTGATGGAGAAAATGTTGAGCTGCCAGCTGCCTCTTCAGATTTACTTGTTAAACCCAAGGAAAGTCCTGTTGCTGTTCCCAGTGATGAACTTGAAAAGTCTGAAGATGAAGAAGAAGAAGAAGGAGGAGTAGAAGATGAAGAAGAAGAAGAAGGAGGAGTAGAAGAAGAAGGAGTAGAAGAAGAAGGAGGAGTAGAAGAAGAAGTTGAGCCTACTGATGGAGAAAATAAACCTGTAAAGGAAGGCACTCAAGGAAAGAAAAAGATCCCAGAACCAGTACGAGATCCCCCAAAGATGGTTCGTATGGCTAATCTATGTGTTGTAGGTGGTCATGCAGTAAACGGAGTTGCTGCAATACATAGCGAGATAGTCAAAGACGAAGTGTTTAATGACTTTTTTAAGGTAAAGGCAATTTATAAAACCTCTTACTTTCTTTAATTACAAAAGTATGCAACTTAATGATAAAATTTAGTTTCTTCAGTTTGTTTCTACTAAGAAAAATGATCCTATCATTGATCTTTGTGCTCAAATTTTGGCAGTTGTGGCCCGAGAAATTTCAAAATAAAACAAATGGGGTCACGCCAAGAAGATGGATCCGTTTCTGCAATCCGAACTTGAGTAAAATTATAACTAACTGGACAGGCACTGAAGATTGGGTTTTAAATACTGAAAAGTTGGCTGAACTTAGAAAGGTAGGCTGCCATTTCTGAGTTTTTTCTTGTAAAACTTCTTGTAGAGCCATTTTTGTCTGTTTCTGAACTTATATCTACAATGTGCCTCTGGTCATGTGATACAAGTGAAATTTATTTACTCACTCTTTTTGGTTTGTGAATGACCAGTGTTGAGACAACTTGGCAAAATTTATGAGCAACAAACTATCTATGTTGGACATACATTTTAAAATGCCTCTTTCACAAGAAAAACTGCCAGATTGCCTTTTGTAGCATCTTGTTCCAGGCTTCTAGCATGTCTTGCTGAATATTTACAAGCGTACATCTAATATTTGTTGTCATGTCACATGTTAGGCAGTTGCTTGTGATATTCAAGCAGTGGTGTTATTTCATGTATTAGTTCTAGTTGCTAGGATTCTGATATATGTGAAGCAGTTGTACCTGTGTCTTTGTCTATAAATAATAACAAAATGAGCAGTTTTTTTATGGTTAAGTGCGAATGACTATAAATATGAGAAAACTTCTGAATCTTTTGGTTATTACTAAGACCCTAATCAGTGTTATGGGACATGTTCACAGTTTGTAGATAATGAGGATCTTCAGGCCCAGTGGAGGGAAGCAAAAAGGAGCAACAAGTTAAAGGCCGTGTCCTTCCTGAAAGAAAAGACAGGCTATATAGTAAGCCCTGATGCAATGTTTGACATCCAGGTAATTTCTCTTGCCAACTACTCCCTTCGTGAAAGTAACGAAAGAAGCGTACTGATAATCAGATGAAAAATGAAAGCACTTTTATCATGTAAGCAAAAGGTACATGATGTTCTCAATAAATGGGCTGCAGTCTAAAACTAAGAGTGGGGAGATATTTTTTAAGAAGGATATGCAGCCAGATTCTCTTACCCCCAAAAGACAATTTGTTGCTCACATTTACAGCGTACAATATTGTCTATTGTCCAGTGTTTAAATGTGATAAATGTTAATGAATATTTTTGGACCCTTGTAGCAATTCTAGTCGTTGTATGACAGTTAGACTGAATGCTCTGTGCAAGTATATTGTTATTAATTCCCCTTAGTCCTTTAAAGTGTGAAAATCATATGTTTTTATGTACTGTGTTGAATTTTAGGTGAAGCGCATCCATGAATACAAGCGTCAACTGCTGAATATTTTGGGAATTGTTTACCGGTACAAGATGATGAAAGAAATGAGTGCTTCAGAAAGAAAAGAAAAGTTTGTTCCACGTGTTTGTATATTTGGGGGAAAAGCATTTGCCACTTATGTGCAAGCCAAGAGAATTGTGAAATTTATCACAGATGTTGGAGCTACTGTGAATCATGATCCTGATATAGGTGATTTACTGAAGGTACACCTTTACAACAATAACAACAAACTAAACCTTAAATCCCATAATTTTGGAGTCGACTATATGAAAGACCAAAAAAGAAATCATGTTAGATCGTAATTTTGAATCTTATTGAAGGTACATCTTTATTGCAAGATATCATTAATGAACCTCCTAATGAGTTCTTTCCTGAAATGAAAAAAATGAAAAAGCAAAATAAAGGTCCTTACAATGTGTCACTGGTTACAGTTATTCCTGACTTTGGTTCACAGATGACACTTTGTGAGGGCCTTTTTTTCTTTGTTTTAAACATAAACATGTAATTTTATTCCGGGCTGTGCTTATTTTTCCTGAAGCTTGGACTTATGTATCAGAGCCCATTCAAGCTACTTTCTGGGGGCCTTTTTTCAGGAACTCTCTGATACAACCAAGCTAAATAACCAAGTCTGGAATAAAGTTACAAATTTATGTTTAAAACCAATACGGACGTTTTGAATAAATCAAATTTGGGCATATAAAGGTAATGAATATTTGTCAACTTGTGCAAATTGAATGAAAAGCATGAATGAATTTGTTAATAGTTATTTTCATCTTTTATTTTGTATAAGCATCGTTTGCAGGCTTCCCGGCCGACAAAACCCCAAAAGAGATAAAAGAAATTGAAAAACATAAAGTGTATATCTGATTTTAAATAGCATTGCTACAATGACTGGATCAAAAAAAGAACAAATCTTTTTAATTTCCTTCTGTGAGTTTATTAATAATTTACTCAATTTCATTATATCAATAATCAGATGTAATGGTTTATTATGTTTTAATTTTAGGTTGTTTTTGTTCCTGACTACAACGTGAGTGTAGCTGAATTGCTTATCCCTGCAAGTGAGCTATCACAGCATATCAGGTATTTCAATTTTATTCATTGTATGGATAATTCTTGGTTATGTAATTTTCCTTTCTGCTTATACTGTAAACAAGATGCAGCAGGAAACGGTTCCTAGCTTACACAGCAACTCCTATTTGGAAGAGATCATCTACTTTATAGCTCGGGAAAGCCTAGGCTTAATCTGTTTGATGGAGCATCATGCATTATTTATTCTGTATTAACTAGGCTCAGCTTCAATGCGTGGAGCTTAATCAAGCTTAGCCTGTGATGGTTCTGACTTAAAATGAATCCTATGCTTTTTCTGATTTGTAATTAACTCAATGCATGCCTTTTCTAAGAGGCTTGTATCGCAGGTTGCTAGCAGAATAGACACTTGGTCGTCTGAACCTCCCTCTATTTTTTATGTTGTTTTCCCTTTACTATACGCAGTACTGCTGGGATGGAGGCAAGTGGAACCAGCAATATGAAATTTGCAATGAATGGTTGCATTCTGATTGGGACCTTGGATGGTGCCAATGTTGAAATACGAGAAGAGGTTGGAGAAGACAACTTCTTCCTCTTTGGGGCTGAAGCTCATGAGATTGCAGGCCTTAGGAAGGAAAGAGCTGAGGGGAAGGTATGCTTGCATGGCCAGATTATTTACTGGTTTTCTTGTCTTCTGATTCTTTACTTCTGGCCTTTCTGTTAACAAAAAAATAATATAAATATAAAAAGTAAGGAAATATATTTAGTGGAAATTATCATGATTTTTCCTTCGTTATTTCTCTTCATTGACCTAACTGACATCTTACCACAGTTTGTTCCAGATCCTTGCTTTGAAGATGTTAAGGAGTTTGTCAGAAGTGGTGTCTTCGGCCCTTACAACTATGATGAACTGATGGGATCATTGGAAGGAAATGAAGGTTTTGGTCGTGCAGACTATTTCCTTGTTGGCAAGGACTTCCCTAGTTATATAGAATGCCAAGAGAAGGTCGATGAGGCCTATAAAGACCAAAAAGTGAGTAACCTTTTTTTTTTGCATACCCTTACATTACATTCATGCATGTTTCATTAAGAGCAAGAACTACTGCATGTCTTTCTGCGGGTACAGTGATTACTGTGCTCTTACATCGTTTTGCATTATCCCTTTCGGCTATTTTTGTGTGATTGATCCCGTGCAACCCCATATTATGCATATGATTCTGTTAAAAACTAAAATGTTTCTCGCAACTCTCTTTTTTCCTTTTACAAATCTCTTCCTAACTCTCACACGTGAACGAGCAAGTATGTTTATTCATCTGTTGCTAATTTTTGCGATTGCTGTTCTGGCAGCGATGGACAAGAATGTCGATCTTGAATACGGCAGGTTCTTACAAATTCAGCAGTGACAGAACAATTCATGAATACGCCCGGGAGATATGGAACATAAAACCTGCCGAATTACCATAATTGCCGAGACTCTGCATTAAGGGAGCTGCCCTTTGCCATAAAGCTTGTAATAACTGCTCCTTTATTATCACATTACCGTATTTTCTATCCTATGTTAAGGAAAAAATACCGGAATAAGTGTAATATTCATAAATGCAATAAAATTAAGAAGTTTTGTCATTGCAAATCGCATTAACCTTGTTTAGTTCTTCCATGGCTTCTCAATTTCTTGATTGACAAATGCTACTTTCTCTCTAGCCAAGATATTGAAGTAGACCGAAAGTTTGCTTCATAATAATTATTCTTAGAAGTTTTGCATGGTTTCTCCTAGGATGTTGATCTTGTTCATTTGGATGGGTCAAGACTCTGACATCCAAAGTTCAGTTATTGAATTGTGAAACAAACACTGCCCATCAGAATGCCAAATAATGTGATTTAAACCAGCTCTCTGGTTTGAACTGTTCAAATGTAAGATCAGAAAATGTGGCCAGACACATTCCTCGGAGGGCAAGCAATGGGAAGGAGAAACCTATTCAATTGGCAAAGGATCTGTTTTTGCATTATTTTTTAGCTGTGCCCTATGTCTATGGAAGACCCTTTCGTGCGGGCAACGGGCAACCGGCAACAAAAAGTAGCTGTGATGTATCATAAGGATAATCCGTAGATAATCCATAACCTCGAAGCAGCATTCCTATTATCTTGGAACACAATATATTAACATTGCTTTCAATGGTTTGTCAACACTATTTCTATTAAGAATATAAAAATTTTCTACACTAGTATGAAGTACCAGAATCAGATGTGTAGGAAACAGTTAGCAAGAATACTACATTATTATTTTCCACCGATCGAGATCATAAAAACATTAAGAAAATTAGTGAACTAAACAAAAAAATTCATAGAAAGAAAAAACCTCAAAGCTAAACATAGTAAAACACACAAATTTTAATATAGCAATATTAAAAAAGACCCAAAATGAGAAAGTCAATACATCATATAACAATTCATTACAAGCTCGTGACTCAAACAAAACAAAACAAGCTACATAAGTACGACAGTATTTTACTGTTAGGAAATTGGCTTTAAATTTTAAGCCCAACAATAATTTGTTTTATATTTGTTTAGTAAGAATTAATTTTAACTATTAATATAGTAATTAAGATTAATCTTAGCATTAGAAATATTTGGATGAATATTAATCTTAATTATTGAAAAGTTACGTAAGGATTAATCTAAAGCATTGAGATATTCTTGGTACGGTTTAATATTAACTATTAATATGTTAGATAAAATTAAATATTGGCCATTGAGTGAAATCGATAGATAGGTGAAAAAGACTATAACTCGGTGTCTTCTCAAAGTGAGGAAAAATTAATTTTCTTGCATTTCAAAATGTTTGATTTTCACGAAATTTTGAATTGTGGAGAAAAATGTGATATCCAAAAAAAAGTGTGATATTCGAAATTTTTTTTCATTTTAAGATATTTTGTATTCAAATTCACTCATTTGGTTGAAAAGAATTTATGTATATTAATTTTTGTATAATTATCATAATTTCTTTGACAAGCTTATAGCAATCTTTTATTTTGTTTTATTAATAATAAATATCTAAACGACAAATAATACATTTAGCAACAAAAAAAAAATATTTTAATTGATTGCTATTTTAATTTATAAAATATTATCAATTAAGGCATTTGTTAACATGAACGCTTTAATTGATAGGATAACTATTATTTAAAAAAAAAAGACCAATTAAGGCGTTTGGTATTTGAACGCCTTAATTGATCTGTTTTAAAGATTATAAAATAAATCAATTAAGGCGTTTGTGTATAGATCAATTAAAGCGTTTGTGTTTACAAATGCCTTAATTGATTATTTTAAAAGATTCATTCTCTATTCTTGAACTTTAAAAAACTAAATAGCTAATACAATTGAATGATAAAAAGCTTAAATGAGTATATTTCCCGAAACCCATCAACTCATTCACTTGGCATTTTGGTTTTTCATCTCCCTCGTTGTGGTCGACCATGAACCACTTAATGTCATTACACATAGTTTTTACCTAGTATGTGCAAATTTAATCCTTTTTATACAATGTTTATTCATCTATGTCATTTTTTATCTTCTTTACTATATATATATATTTATATATTTATTTATATAAGCATTTATCACCGTCACCAATGATGCACACCCTCACTACATTACATGTATGTCATTTTCTTTGTTGTTTGGTTGGAGTATTATGGTTTGCCAAATGGTTTTATGAAAAATAGTTATTATATTTTTTCTCATTTGTTTTGCATGAAACTCTTATGATATGATGAAACATAATATGGCTTGTACCATCTATAATATTATTGGTTTTGTTTTGTTTTATGTATATTAATTGTATTTACTATATTGGATATTGGTTGTTTTTAATATATGGGATATATAGAGAGACAATTTGATGTATTTCATATAATTTAAATCAAAATCATAAGTATTATGACATTCAAAGAACATATATCTTCTTTTATTAAATATGAAGAAGACATATCCATCATGGAAAAAAAGAAAATCAAGTGGGACGTGGTAAACAAATTAAAGTTAGAAGGATGAAAGTTCACATGGAATTCAATTAAGATGGGCAACCTGTGTTAAGTGGAGTTGTGAAGTTGTTTAGCCATATTCGAGCTATCATCCAACAGAGTATATCTATTACTTATCTTAATTAGCAGATGGTTCTTGATGATAAGAAAAACAATATATGAGATTCAATTATGGTATATTTATTTAACAATATTCAAATTTTTGTTAATCGTTAATTGAATTGACTTAATGTGTTGATTTTATTTAATTTATTCATTTTTTTAGGAATTGTTTGACATCCCAACCGAGTATAATAAGCTTGTGTTTCAATTGGTTGGGAAAACATTCATAGACTTTCAAAACAGATTGACAACTCAATATATTTTATCATTCATTAATAATTCTGAATTGTTGGTTGATCTTCCAACGACATATGCCGATGTTATCAGTTATGAAGAGCGATCGCAGTTTATTCAAAATTATCTATTAGATGAATTCTTGGTATGCATACTAATTTGTTAATTGTTAATAATATTTTGTTTAATATATTCGATATCTTAATATGTGATTTATCTTTTTTGTCCAAAAAATCAAATAACAATAAAATAATGTTCAGACCCAACAATTATATCACCATCGGACATTGAGAAAGGGTTAAATGTTAATATGATATTGTAAATATTCAAATGCTTGTTTTACACTCGTATATGAATATTTATGAACATGTAAACATATATTAAGAAACTTATAATGATTCCTTTTTTAGGAATCATTTAGCTTTGGAGCTAAAATTTTTAGATGGGATGTTTGGAAAAAAGGACATTGCACAAAGATAGATCATTTGCGAATGAAACAACTAAAAAAATGGTTAAAAAGACAGTAAGCTTTATTTCATATTTTTTCATTATGATGAAATGTGCTTTTATGCATGACTATATATTATATTTGGTTATTTACGCACCATTATTTTTGTGTTTTGAGATGAATTTGCTGTAAGATATGACTTGGTGACTTGTAAATCGGTTATGATGAAGATCTGTTATCCTTAGCTTTAGGATTCAAAATAGACATGGTCGAGTTTGGAGGTTGGTAGATTTGTGTTGCCATCACAGTTTTTCAAGAATCAACCCAAACCCCCTAATAAAAAATGCAGAATATGAAGTAATCATTCATCATCAACAACAAAGACTTAATGAGCAAAAAGTAACGCCTGAATGATCAATAGTAATGACTTGCAACTTTGGAGACAATGTTGATAGCAATGTAACCTAACATGCCTTAAGGGCAGTCTTGTTACGACATCTAGGGAAATGAATTCATGAATCAAGTTTTGCAAGAAACCTAATATCTGATTATCATCATTATTTTAATTTTATTTATTGATTGACTATTTATTTGTATTTTTTATTTTTTTAATTGATTTTAGGATTTATATTTCATACTCTTTTGTAACATGATGTTTAGACTAAAACTCAAACTTAAGCACTTGCAGAGACTACCATGAATGCATTATTTACTTATGCGCTTGATTATTTATCAAGAGAAAATTTCATTGTCATTAAAGGGGAGTATGGATTATTTGATCATCCATCGATGTCTTACATTGGGTGGGCAAAGATTGTGGTATTTTGAACCATGGATGAGATATCGACTTTTGATTTTGTTGCATATATAAGGTTAGCTTATCAATTAATTTAAATATGTTCTGTCAATATCAATTATCCTATATTATGTAGTATTACTAAATGATACTATTGATTATCATCATGTAACCTCCTATCTAGAGAGATAAAAGAAAGACAATTGACCTATAGATTTAGATTCGTTGACTCAAATTTGATTAGTTATGCCAATGGCACTATCGCTAATCGTTCTCATAATGTGGGTCAATGCATGCCAACATCGTTCGATTATTTTCTAATGGCTTATAATTCCTCATAAATTTTATTTGTAGTAATAATTGTATCATTTATAACATCTAATATCATGCTTATTATTTTGATATCATGCCTATTATTTTGTAGAGTCATTGGTATCTTATTGTAATTGATACTAATATGTATAATCTACTTATTTAACTTTGCATAACTAGCGGCAATGCCTATTATCGATATTGTCAATTTAATAAAGATGTATTACATTTTATGAACAAGTGATAATTAGATTAAATTTTATTTTTATGTAATTATTATTATTTTTTGTTTACTATGATTTTTGTGTTTAATTTAGGGGAATAGCTGCAGTTCATAAGAATGAAAAGTTCAATTGGGTGTCATTATCGATAAGTGTAAAATATATTCTTTTATGTTGAGTTTGCTTTAGATAAATATTTACTAACCCATTCAACTTTATTTTCAGGTTCCTCATTAACCAAGAGTTACCGAATATAGATATTATGTCATTTGTTTTATGAGAGAGATTATTTTGTATGATCTTATGAGCAAACCATTCAAGGTTGGTATTAATACCATATAATAGTAATATCTTTCAATTAAACTTATATAATATTGTGCAAGTTGATTAACATTGAACTCTTATTTTTTATTTATAATGGGCAAATAAAGAAAGCTTATGCAAAAAAAAATTGATGAAGTCCGTAAAAAATGGTGTGATTACGTATCGACATTCACTAA